TTAACCCTGGGTGATGTTTTTATTTCCTTCTGTCATATTTTCCTGGCATCACTGTAGAAGGGAGGGAGCTAGTGAAGTGGTGGAGATGTTGCACAAGTTCTTCTTAGGCCTCATCTCCAAAACCTTGCCATATCCCTTTACCAGGTATGTTTATGAACAAGGGAATGATGATCTAAGTATCTGTGGCTTCCTGCCATGCTGTGTTATCACAGGTCTTTCACAGCAGCCACAGCTCATCTCTGCCTGGTTTTGACCTACAATATTCTTAGTGCACACACCACAACTCTCCCCACTGCTCTCCTTTCTGATCCACTGATGTCTCTTGCATGATGGCAAAGCTGTATATGTCCTGAATGCAGGCTCTGCTGGTCATGGATCAGTCTCAAAACTGACTGAGATAGAATTAGGGCTTAAATATTATTAATTTGGAAAGATAGAAGGAAGTGCAATGTGTCTTTAAAAAGTTTGCTGCTCAGGAAGATTTGAAACCAGCACATCACCCAACAGTTGAAGAAATTTGATAGATGAGTCTCCGACATTCTTGTCATGTCTTCCCTCTCTTTTTCTCCACTTCCACAGTCTCAAAATGCTGTGAGGCGTGCTGTGAGGTCTGGCTTATGTCAGAGAGTCTGTCAAAGTTCGGACATGCAGGCCCCATGGCCTGCAGCTGGACTAAGTGAGGAGTCTCCATCAAGAATTCATCTAAATGTCTTGCTCCTGCAGCATGCCCTCAGGTTCAGCACTCCTTTGTTTTTAAAGCCACAGTTATTAGTATCAAGAAAGCATGCAAAGAGCTGGGGAATACTGTGTCTGTGTGCCCGAGAGAGAGGGAGGGAGGGAGAGAGGAGGGGGAAGGAAAGAGTTTCTACACGTATTGGGAATCATGCTAAGAAAAAGAGACAGACCTACTATTAGGGTCTGGTTTTAAGCAAAATATCAGGGTCTTTCCTTCAGAGAGAGAACTCCCACAGCTGTGAGGGGAAAACAGACTGCTATAGGCAGAACAAAGGAGGCTGTATAAGGATCCATCTTTCCTTTGGTGCTGCAAGGCTTTAAACTACAAGCCAAACAGAGGCTAAGAGAGAGTACACCAATGGGTGTTTAAACTCCATTGCTGAATGCACATAATATCTGTAAATTGTTTGATAGAGAAAATCCCCATAGTTGGCTGGGAGTTTTGGAGTGAGCAGTGAATATGAAATCCTGTTTCTCCAGTAGGTGCTACAGGGGAATGACCTGGGGACACATTAGACAGTGATAAGTGACTCTTTCCACCCCCCTTTTATCCTGTTTACAATACAGAGGCTTTCCTTGAACAAAACCCTTTTTTTACTCTCCATGCTTCTGGCTGTTGTGTCTAAATGAGCCAATTTGCTGAAGGACTCCTCCTGGAAGGACTTGAAGTATAACAAGAATAAACGTTTGATTGCAGCATGTTTTTTTTTTTTTTCCTGGCAAAAATCAGATTCTTCAGAAAAGAACAGAAATTCATTCAAAAGCATTTCAGTACTTGCCACTTCATCAAAACTCCTGTGATACTTCTCAAAGTCTTGGCCAGCAGGGAAGTCCCAGCATCTACTTTCATTCAAGGTTTCTATTTGCATACAGTGTTTGAAAACAGCTTATAATGACTCAGATAAAAGAGAGCAAAGAACAAGAACTGAATGTGTTACTGCTGTAGCTAATGTTTTTTTGGATACACTTTATTCTTAGACTGACGTTATTTCTGTGGCTTGAGTTACTATTAGAAATCCAGGGGTTAATCTTTTGCCAAACACCTGGCTGGCTGCATGGCAGAACAGGATGGTCCAAGAAAGTTTCATGCATCATTTGAGATACAAGGGATGCATCTTAAGCTTCTCCCCTCTTAAAATCTTTTGATTTTTCCTCCAACATTTGTCATCCTTAAGTATCTTGAATTTTTGCCATAAAGATATTTAGGCTTTGCCTAAGTGAAAAAGCAAAACAAAACAAAACAACAACAACAAAGCAAAGAATAGGGCTGAGGTGCTGAGGACTGATTATGATCCTAGATTTAAAACTTTGTATTCAACTGTATCAGAACATTTTATTCAGATGGACCCAATTTACCACATTATTCCTTGTGATACAGCAGGTTTCTTGCCATGCCACAAATGAGATGTAGCATAAATCCAGAAAAGTGTAGCATTAGCCCACCATCAGGGAGATTTAATAGTCTCAGGAACTAACATAAAAAGACGAAGTTAAGAGACAGAAGAAATAGTAGAGTAGAGCTGACTACCCTACTTGCCTGGTCTGTGAGGGCAGGGCCTACTTCTGTTAGGTAAACTGTTTTGCTGCTTTATACAAGTAGTGCTGAGATCTCTTGACTCTCAGAAGAGGGAAAACCAAAGATGGATGATTAATTACTGGGTAAGAAAATTATGAGTTACTGACATGGCTGAAATCTTCCAGCTGTGCAATCCTTCCTCAAGCTGCATACATCCATTGCCTTCTTTGTGCTGGTAGTGGTGTTCATCTGAATCCAAAGTGAAGCAATTTAGAGTTACATTGAAAGCAAGCTTTTTGTTTTGTTCTGATTTTAGAGTGTTCAATTACTCCATGTTTCTAGACTCTAGAATCTCACTAGTGCCAGTTCAAAGGGGGAGCATTGAACCACATAATTAAATTATTATTTAATTAAATATAATTAAATTAAAGCTCAAGTGGCTTGAAGTCCTCCTCTTGCCCTACAGCTGCTTACCCATAACAGGTTTCCTTCCTACTCTTCATCTGTGACTTTCATATTCTTATCAGGATGAAAACTGAATCTTCAAAAATCTCAATTTTTTTAACAGAATCCCCCTGGAAGTGGTTTTGGAGATTTGCCATCTAGCCAGTTCTCAAATAAACTAACATTTTACTGATACTGCATGTTGTTAATCTTTAAATTACTGATCTTGTGCTATTAATTTGAATGCTTTATAAAATATCTTTCAATGAGGGATTGATTGAAGACGTTGTGGAGTCTCCTTCTCTGGAGATACTCAAAACCCGCCTGGATGTCATCCTGTGTAATGTGCTTTAGGTGATCCTTCTCAGCAGGGGGTTGGACCAGATGATCTTCAGAGGTCCCTTCCAACCTCAGCCATTCTATGATTCTGTGATTTCCAATCAAGCCCAGTCTTACTAGCATGAAGTTGTGTTTCTGGACAAGGATTATTTTCCACTGAAGTACACTGACGATAGCAAATTATAGTCCTAACTTTAGTTTAGTAATTTATGTATCAGCATTTCTACTCTTCTGAGGCCCAAGACAAACGGCCCCATATCAACCTACTTATCTACCCTTTTTGGATAATACACCTTCCCACTATTTATTCCATAAAGTTAAAAGGTTGAAGGAGTTCTTGAGACCCAGCAGGCTACCACTGTAAAAGTACATCAGTTTTTGTAGTCCAGAACATGTAAGAAGGGGTTGTGGTTGATTATCTTGTCAAAATAATTAAGAAATTATGTACAAATGAGATAACCGAAAACAGTTTTTCAGTTTTTCATACAACCCCAGAGCAAGGACTAAACTGCCAGCCCTGCAAAAACCTGTGGAGAAAACTGGTGTTATAAAGTTAATGGCTGATAACACAGTGCAAGGTATTTAGTGTGTCTGAGTGTGTGTGGAAAAATGGGATTCCCAAGAAAACAAACCTATTTGCACAATGGCAGTCCTGAGCTATCCATGACCACTAATGAACAAGTATTTGGAGTCAGAGTAAGTAGATCTATGAAAATGTCTGATCAGTGCTACATGTAGAAGTCCCCGAAACAAGCAGAATACTGGAAATAAGAAATTACTGAAAATAGAACACAAGACTGGCTAGGACAGCTATACAGCTAGAAAAGGTTGTGAGAAGATGGTTGTTATGATCAAAGAGCTGGAACAGCTATTTTAGAAAGGATGCCTACATGCAGGATTCATCTTACTTTCTCATAGGTATCTGCTTTTTTGCATTTCCGTTTGAACTGGTCACCTAGACTTCTAGAGATTTAGTGAATGCAGTTCATGTGACAAAAGACAACCATGTGGATAAATTTGTGGGCAAAAAATACACTGAGGCATTAAGTACAGATACAATTCATCCAGCGTAGCTGGGCTCGCAGGAGACTTAGTGGTGGAAGGTGGGATCCTGAGGCATTGGAATGGGCTGCCCAGGGAAGTGGTGGAGTCACCATCCCTGGAGGTCTTTAAAAGATGTTTAGATGTTGAACTTAGTGATATGGTTTAGTGGAGGACTTGTTAGTGTTAGGTGAGAGGTTGGACTCGATGATCTTGAGGTCTCTTCCAACTTAGACAATTCTGTGATTCTATCAGGAAGTAGACAGAATAGTAACAGTAGACAGTAGAAGAGCAGCAATGGAAGAGACCGGCATGTGAGGGGAGAGACAGGGCGCTGGGCAGGAGGACAGCTCCGGGGAGGAAGGTGAAGGGCAGGAGCAACACCAAATGGCCTCTACAGACCCGGGACAAAGACGTGCCCCATGCAGAGACAGCTCCTGGGCAGCCACCCTGATGCGAGGAAGGTGGCCCCGGGCCCCACGCAAGGTGACGTAGGAGGTGGACAGGGCTTTCCTCCCGACCCCTTCTCATTCTGGTGAGCATGGCTGGAGGCCAAAACCTGAGGGGAGGCGGCAGCCTCGGAACAGCAGAAAGAAAGGCATTGGGGAACGGGTGAGGGAAGGGTTTTTCGGAGAGGACTGGCGAAGCACCCGGGGGGACAGGGATGGGGCGACGAGGCTGCTGCAGGCGAGTAACGAGGGGAAAGCCGGGCCGGGCCGGCGGAGCGGTGCTAGGGCCGTGCGGGGACGGGGAGGGCGGCCGCGGGCCTCGGGGCGCGGCGCTGGGGTCCGGTCCCTGTCCCGTTCCCTGTCCCTGTCCCTGTCCCTGTCCCTGTCCCTGTCCCTGTCCCTGTCTCTGTCCCCGGCCCGGGGCCGCGGGCTCGCGGCTCCCCCTGGCGGCAGCTCGGGCTCCTGACGGGGCCACGGCCGGCGGAAGCCGAGGGTGGCGGAGCCGGATGCGACGTGGGCGGCGGAGCGGAGCGGGCCGGGCTGTGCCGAGCCGAGCCGAGCCGTGCCCGGGCGGGCCGAGCCGTGCCGAGCCGTGCCATGGAGGCTCTCTACCACCAGACCAACAAGTTCGTGTGTGCGGCGCTGCGGCGGGCGCCCGTGGTGGCCCCGCTGCTGTGGGGCGGGGGCCGGGCCGCGTTGTGGGAGCAGCCGAGGCCGCCTGGATGGCGGCGGGGAGGAGGGGGCGGTAGCGGCCGGGACCCCCCCCAGACCGAGGGGCTGAGGGGAGCTGGGCCGTTTCTCGGCCGCAGGGCGAAGCCAACCCGGGTCCTCCAGGCTGAGCGGGTCCGAAGTCCCGCCGTGCCTTTAGCCACGTCAGGCCCGAGTCAAGGCTTCAGGTTCCTGGCTTCAGGTTTTAAAGTGTGGGATTAGAGGTGCTCACTGAAAATAAAAGTGATTCTGTTTTACTACATAAGCGTGTGAATTGAAGGCACGCTCGTTTGCTAGGGTTTTTATGGCAGTGGGCTTTGATGATGGCCAGGGGCAGCATTTAAACCCTCTCAGGAAACGTGTCAGTGAGATACAAAATGGTTTTGGAGATGAATGTAGTCTGGTGAGGTTTAAGTGGTGGGAAAAATGCAAACCACAAGTAAGGCAGAAAACCTGCCAGTGTAGTGGAAATAACTCATGGGAAAGAGGCTAAAGGAGGGAGTTAATCCAAATATTCCACCCTGGTATTTTTGTTAATGGGTTTTATTAAATAATGTAATAGGGAAGAGCTGGAAATCTTGCTGTTGATCCAGAAATGCAAGCCCGTGATATAACCCTTGTTGATAAGGAGAATGGTTTTGCCTTTTCCAGTTTCCATATTGCCTTGCTCTGATTGTAGCTCTTGAGCTCTGCTTTTTATTGTAGTTCATTGTCAGTCTGAAGGTAATCTCAATTTGAAAACTCTCTTCCCACCTTTTCCCAGACCTACTATATTTTCCTCCATTAGAAAAATCCTGGTAAATATGAAGTGTCTTTTTCTAATACGGTTGCCAGAGATCTGATTTTGTTCCTACACATGGATTTCTAAACAGGCATTTTAAAAGCAGTGTGAGTCTCAAGATGTCTGAGGCATCCTAGACAAACTGGTTGAAAAAAAAAAAAAACATCGAACAAGGATGGGGTGCAAGATACTGGATATTGAATTGGTTCTCTAACTAATGTGTTTTACTCAATGTGTTTTTATTTATTTTGGTTTTTGTTCTGTCACTGCTTCTGCAATGTCAGGAATTTCTTCTCTTCTATTTTAAGCTTCTACTTAAATTCAATGCCTCTGTGATTCATGTATTGTATGAGATGCTGAAAGTCATTCCTTCTTCACCTTCCCCTGTGGCATTTATGCTCAACAGTGTCTCACTGCTATTATCTGCAGTCCAGACTGAACAACTCCATTGTATTAAAGCTGTTTAGTACTTTTCATAATCTTTATAGTCCTTCCCTGATCCTTTGTCTGTACTGTTATTTTGTTTGTGAGAAGGAGGTGACAAAGCTTGCACTGAAGATGCGTACTACCTATTTCTGCAGTGCCATAAAGGTGTGGAGTATTTAGTGGAGTATTTAGGTAGTATTTCACTGCAGACCTGTTATTAAGGTCTCCTTTGTACCAGCTCTTCTACCAATCAGACCTTCCCTCTGTTATACTTATTATTTATGAGTTCCTATTGTGAATCTGATACCTCCATGGTTGTCTTGGGGTAGGTAGATCTTAAATGACATTGAGCATGCCAGGTGTGTGACATGAGAGAGAACCTCCATTCAGGTTACAATACAAGAAGGGAGCTAGAACTGGATTGAAAGTCACTGAAGGAAAAAAAAAATTAGTTTCACCTTGATTTTTATTTCAACACTGAAAGTTACTTTGTAGATGCATATTAATTGAAAGCACAGCTGTCTTCAAACTGAAGATTAGTGTTTTTTTTAGATGTTTAGTGATGGGCTGTCTGCACTGAATACCATGTATCTGATTCTTATTATGTTCTGAAAGGTACTTTTAAGAGAAGCTGAAGATTAAGATATTGAAAAATTGTTTTTCATTTTATGGATGTTAACTGACTTATTTTTCTTTATTTGTCTTTTGATAGACAAGTCCACGAAGTCCAATCTTACATGGGACGTCTGGAAACTTCAGACAAACAGTCAGTACACTGTAAGTAGGTAATTAGAGGGAAAAGTCCCACTCCAATACTGATGTAACCTGAACCTTCAACCTCGTATGCTTTATCATTATATTTACAATCATTACTTGAACTAATTTGGCTTTTCAGTTACTATGATCAGCAGGTGAGATGAAATGCTGATGTGGAATGCATTAAAATTATTTTACCATTTGACTTGATTAAGGTGATGTCTTGTAGGACAGAGTGGAAAAGACAGAACAAAAATTTACTGCCAGTCAGCTTCCTATGGGAGGTAGCTCTTGAATTGAGAAGTGGTGTTTGCTGTAAATGCTTCTACAAGTATCTTGAACTGGGAATATCAGATATTCTTTGGTGCTGTTAGATTTTGATGCATTGTCAGAGTGTGCCATGGAGACGTATGTTATAAACGGATTAAACGAATCAAATTGATCAAATTGATGCACATATGGAGGTATAATATAACACATAGATGTGGACAGAATTGCAAATTCAGACATCACCAAGCTAGTTTGTTAGAAGCTGAGAAGTTGAGAAATGTCACTTGATATCTGTCCTATTGTTAACACTGTTCCTTAAGAATCCAATAATTGGCAAACTTCCCAAAAATATTCTTAGTCCAGTTTCTGGGGAAAATACTGTCGTTTGATGTGCAAGAATTTAAGCAGGATGATTCTAATGGCTCCTGCTTGCATGAGCCCTGTAGAGACTTGCATCAGGTCCAGAGAACCTGTAATTCCATTTGCTTATGAGAAATATGTGGAACAACTAGGTCTGAAATTGCCTCAGTAAGTTTGGACTATAACCTTGTGTTAATAAAATGACTGTCATAAAATAATATGATTTATTGTGGCAAGATTTTTCACCCTAGTGCAGAATTGGCAAATGTATTTTGGATACACATTTGAAGTCTGAATTCATGTAAAACTAGTTGCTAACGGGCATGATCAAAAACTTTTGAAGTGAAGCCATACTAGATACATTTATCCACAGGTCGACTGACTTCTGTTACCCTAACTATATTCATGTAGCATGACTAGAAAAGGCTGTGATAACTTTTCCTATCAAAAAACAACAACTTGTCTACTGGTTCTATTTTCTATGATGGTCGTTGCCACCTGTACTGTACTGTGATACCTGCATCTAGTACAATGCCAGATGACTTCCTTGACTGTAGTTCGTTAAATGTGATTTTGGAGCCCCTTGAAAATTAGCATAACTTGCTGTCTTGCTTCTGCTACTTGAAGCGAGAGATGGGATTATGTACCATCTTATATAGTCAATAAATGAGCATACTATTTTATATATAAAAGCACAGGTATGTGCTCTAGATATTATTACGTAGTCAAGAATTTATGGGAAGAGGAGCTATCTTTAGTCTGAAGGTCAGGAAAAAGAGTCAGGAAATCAAAGTTTCAGTTGCAGCTTTTTTTTCCAGCTTTGGGCAAATAACCCCTTCTTGCTCAGAAAAAAACATAAGATGACCAAGAAAGTAACACTGTTGTTTGGACTACCTAATGCTGATGTAATTGTCTATCTGCTGTTCTGGCTGGTCTTCTGTGAAGTTTAGCTGTACTAAATGATGGAGAAATGAATTAGGATGATGTGATTGATCTGTGTTTATTTATTTAAATAAACAATATTTATTTAAAGTTGGCTATTCTTTGATTGTGTGAAATCAAATTGTAAAGAAAAGGGGTTTTATGTGCCGTTTCCTTTTTGGGTACTGCTAAATGGAATTTTCTGGAAAGTCTTGAGGTACTTTGGAGGAAATAGTTGATTACTAATGCTTTACTGTATATCTCTTTAGTCTAGAAAAAATAGGAATAAACAATATCTCTTAAGATTTTGTCTAAATGCAAACTAAGAACAAATTGTGACTGTAAAGGTTTGTTGATTATTCTAAGACTGACCATGGTAGTCCAGGAGTTGGCTTCAGGGTTATCTTCGTGACTGCACAGGCATGATGGTTCTTCAATGTCCTCTAATAATCATTCTATGGATGTGCTCTGGAGGGTGCATACCTTCAGCCTTGCAAGCTCACTTTCTGTAAGCACAATAATGACAGATGATTAAAGGTCTCCCTGTGCAGTTCAAGCTGTGAAATGCTGGATTGTCACACAGTTAGAATATGTGGTTGTCGAATGAAGAAGGGGTTAGTGACTTATACCAGGCTTTGCTGCACAATAACAGTAACTGAAAGCATATGAAATCTTTTTTTTCCTAGTTGTATGTGCTTCCCACCTTACCAAAGTAAAAGTAATTGAGTTTGCATTTTGATCTCGTCTCTCTGCTATTTCTATGCACACATTATCAGAAGCAATAGCAAAGTAGACGATCACGGAGGCAGATGTTATATGTCTTGTTTTCCCACCTGTAAGGGCTCCCCAACCATGAGCATGCTTTTCCAAGCTGTTTGTCTAGTCTGCCAATTCCCATCAACTCTTCTTTTGGTTGCTTTGTCAAGCTCCCATGCTATAGGTGTGGATAATGGAACTCTTTGTTAACAGTTTTCAGAAGTTAGGATTGCCAAGAATCATCTTGGCTATTAGCTTTTATGAGCAAGACCTGAGAAAACAGGAAGGAGCTGTAGAGGGCAATGTGGAACATTTAAGTCCTATTATATAGACGAGACAGGGAAAGAAGTTCATGAGTCTTGGAGGAGCAAAGGCATTCCCTGTTCCCTTCTCAGAGGAGGGTGAAAAAGGCAAGAGTCTCAAACTAGCCAGTTAAAGAAGTGTCTCTTCATGATTTGTAGAGTTCTTAGTTCATCTGATTTTTTCGTTTGTTTGTTTCCATCCAGCAAGAATTTGTGTCTTTCAGTTTTAAATACTGGTTTGAATGCTGTTGTACTTTTGCCTTCACTCAATTTGCAGTTCTTTAATTCAAATTAGAATATATTTTTGTTTCCTTGTAGTAGTAGAAAATGAGATTCAAGCAAGAATAGACAATATATTCAGCAACTTGGAACGTCTGGAAATCTTGTCCAGTAAAGAACCTCCCAATAAGCGACAAAATGCTAAACTGTAAGTTCACTTTCTTTGCTTTGATAATGGTGTAGTCTTTATAGTTATTTTCATTAAATTTATTGTAGCCCTTTTCCTTTTCATTTGAGTTGAACCTTTTCACATTACAACTGAAATCTCTATGCTCAACTGTAACAGAAATGAGGCACAGATGCAAAATCATTTTCCTGCATTTACCTGCAGACTGGCGATTGAGCTGGATTCATGGCTCTGTTCTGAGATGAGTACTTTGCTGCTTAGCAAAATATAGCACTTTGATGCTTAAATGACACACTGAGTTGAAATTATTTTGCTTCTAATGGTATTTGTGGAGGTAAGGAGTAAAATTACTTCAGTAGGTGTCATTTTTTCTGAAAACTTTTACTAGCTATTGGTGACTAAAATAAGGTTTCAAAAATTAACACTAGTTGAGCAGCTTGGACCAGAGACCATCAGAGCACTTTCCATTCTAAATTGTTCTGTGACTCTGCTATTAATTTTTAGTCCCAATGCTGCCTTAGATCAGGTGGATTTCATGTCACCTATATTATAAAGGTCACCATCTGAAACAGTCGTCTATGCTTTCTTTGTAGTTAACTGAACATTTAATCAGAAACAGTAGAGTTATGGACTTGATTTATTTTACCCTAATGCAGACATGTCCTCTATTGCCAATTGGCTTTTAGGTACATTTTGTAGAAACTCAGCCTTAAGAACGTGATGTTAATTAATGAAACTTGAAAACCTAATGTTTTGCGTGAATAGGTCATAAAGTAGAAACTGTTCAAATCCTACTGTCTTTTCAAATCTATGTTAAATGAAGAATATATATATGTAATCTCTCTGAAGAGACTTGTCATGGGGTGGGATGTGCAAGATAGCTCAAGAATTCTGCTTCACATTCTATCTTTAGCTTGCAATTAAATAATCACCTGTTTACTAGTAAAATGAGGCACAGATGATCTAAGTATGGAATGTAAGTGTAACATTGAATGTCCTTTATCTTTTAGATGAGTAGAATCCATCATTCTTTGTATTTGTTGCTGTTAATTTATAATGCTCCATTGTTCATTAAAAAGACCACAAAAGATTGGTATTTTATCCCTGGGAATATCTTCCTGTTGTTGATCCTGTCTAGCCGAGTTGACCAGCTGAAGTACGATGTTCAGCATCTGCAGACAGCTCTGAGGAACTTTCAACATCGCCGTTACATCCGGGAGCAGCAGGAACGACAGCGAGAAGAGTTACTAGCACGTACATTCACTACTAATGTAAATATTCTTTATTTTAGATTTCTCAGTTTTAGTTGCCTTAACCGTTCAGTGAAGTTTCAGGCAAGACCTAGGCTTGACTATTAGTTTGCTGCTGTGTGATGGTTCAAGTGGATTAAAGATAAAAAAGAGTAATAATACATGTTGAAAAAGTACAACTCTTTCATGAGGAAAACTTGGTCAAAAAAGAGGCAATAGTGAAAGACTTGAGATTGCTGCTCCAATTTTATCCAGTGCAGCTGTACCTGACTTTATATAGCAGTTTCAAAAAGTTGAATGAGGTAGATAACAAAGAATACATTTTAATTGGATTTGTGTCAAAAGTCTTTGTCAAATCCCAGGACTTGAAAAATGTCTGGAAAATGCTTATGTTTATCAGTGGCTTTTATGCATGCTGCTGTTAGTAAATGCCAGCAAGTTTTCATTTGTCCAAATATAAATTGTGTAGCTGGGAAAAAAAACGTCCATTTTAACTATAAATGATTCAAAAGTTTTTAATGACAGGTATGTGTTTCAACCTGTTCTTGATCGGTCTGAGTTCTTCCACTGATGTCTCCCCCGGCAAATTCCCAGATAAATTTTGCTCTGAATAATGTAGGTTTGCTTTCATTCTTTGCTTTTCTGTGACTTAAAAGCATGTGTTTTTTATCTTACTGTTTGCTTTCTGTGCTGACTTTCACTGTTAGGACAAGAAAAAATGCAATGTGAATGGCTATATTTTCTTGAGATTTTGGAAGTTCACTGCACTACTCAAAGCCCAACATAACTGATCTCTTGCATTTTGTTGGCTATTTCAAAATTATAAACAAGTCTTGAAATGAACACTGGAACTTGAAACCTGATTTGCTTTCAAAAGCTGTGGTGTTCTGCAAATGGGAAGAAATTTTCCTGTAGGAAAGCTTGTCCAGGAAGAAAATGCATGAGTAAATAGAACAGTTTTGAAGAGGAGTAGCAGTCTTGCAAACACAAAATACATGGCAAATTATTTTTTGTTCCTGAACATGTTGAAAGGTATCTCCAGATGTAATTAAGTTGTGTGATTATTTTGTATTTTTTTTCTTAACTTATCATTACAAAAACATAACTTCTAAAGTATATTTTCCTTTTAATAGGCAAATGGTGTATTTGTGAGTTACTGGCCTACCTGTTTAGGTTCGAGGTTTACATAGCTATTTATATACTACCCTATTTTATTAAATAGGAATGTCAGGTGAGTGTGTAAGCATTCTGAATTAATAATAGTAGTGTACATAACAGCTCTTGAAAGCTGTCACAGTGTTCTGAACGTTTTGTTTAATTCGAAGATAAATATTGTCTTCAAAGCCTTACCTTGAATTCTGGAGAAAACCACTTATAGGAAATGAAAAATATGCTGCCATCTAGTGTCCCTCCGAGGGGGTACAAGGCCAGGTTGGATGGGGCTTTGAACAACCTGGTCTAGAGGAAGGTTCTCCATGCCCATGGCAGGGGGTTGGAACTAAGTGATCTTTAAGGTCCCTTCCAACACATTCTGCGTTTCTATGAGCAAAGATCTACTTTGATAGTTTTCTTGCTGCCTTGTGTATAAAAGAAAGTCAACTGCAAATTCCTTGCATAGGAAACAGAATCCCTTCTGATTTGAAGTTTAATAAATATCTGAAAGAATAGCCATTCAGATGTAAGTGCTGTTGCTCTGCACATTCCTGTAAGACAAGATAATTTTTTCAACCTTTGTGCTCTATTGACTTTTGATCAAAGAGTTGTGTACACCGTCGATAGCCTTCTTCATCCAGTACCTTTGACCATCTAACTGGGAATAGCTCTGTCCTTTATTCTTCATTCTTCATTCTTTCACACTACGTAAGCAGAATATCCATCTAGGCAGTCAGACACCCAACACTGGATTGTACATGTGATTCCTGTATTAAAAATTTTTCTACAATAATCACCAGAGACTACTCAGGGCAAATTTGATATTGTTACATGCAAGTAACCTACAGGTGACAGGTATTAAGCACCTTCTGCCCAATATATGAATTATGCATTTTAGTAGTTCTTGCCACTCTGAGTACGTGGAAGCAGGTAAGCCAGTGTTTCCACACTTAGCTCTAACCAATATAATGATTACTGTTTGCAAAACAATGTGGGAGTTGTGAACTATTACCTTGACTCTCTCAGTGGAGTAGTGTCAGAGAAGATGAAACTGGAAACCTTTTGAAAAGTCATGACATCCTCTGACCCCTTATGTGACCCAGGTTAGAGAATTTTACCCAGTTACTTCCATTTCAAAATGTATAGTTTCTAGTTGCACTAATGCATCTTTTCTGGATTTAAAAAAAAATATCATTAGATAAGTCCTTGGGTGGTGAGTGAGTGAGACTTTCAGGGAACTAGGTTCATATGTCTGTTTGCCCTCCCTGTCAGAAATTTGCACATTGTTGTTAATACAAGTTTATAGAATGTCATCTCCCAGACATGTTTTTTGCAAGCCTTTTGTCATTATAAATGTGCTATTGTCTTTCAAAAATCTTTTGCTTACAGTGATCACATGACTTCCTTGTTTAATCCTTTCTGATACTTTTGATCTTTTCTACTGTAATACTCTTTCCTACCTATGTCATTAAGAGATTATGAAAATTCTCAGTTTTTAATCTGATCTTTTATCTCCTGAAATCTAATTGCAGTTGAATAGCTAATCAACTCTGCCTTTTGACTTGCTTCCTATAGGCTTCTCTACATTACTTTGTTCACTCAAATTAATATTGTTTTAACATCCCTATTAAAAATAAACAACAACAACAACAAAACATAATCCCACAAGTCCTGTCAAGGGGTGTTTGTTTCTGTATGTTCTCTTTCTGGATCTATGAGTATGAGTGAGTAGGCAAGGTAACCAAGACCCTGCATTTCCCCTACAGGACTCTGACACCACCATACCGATCGACGAAACATTACAGTTTAATGAATCCCTGCAGAATGCCCATCGTGGCATGGATGATCTTATTGGCAGTGGGACCAACATCCTTCAGGGGCTGAGGGACCAGAGAGTGACATTAAAGGTGGGGGCATCATTTTTTACCAAAAAGACCCCACATTTCTGCATTTAAGATGACCAGGCTAAGTAGAAGAAATAAATAAGTATGGTAAAGGCCTAAACTCTGATTTAGCTAAGCCTAAAATCTTTACATTTTGTCATTTTACTAGGAACATATTTAAGCCTTTTTTTTTTTTTTTTTTTTTTTAATGTCCCTGGTAGGCTAGCAGTCTTTGTCTGCACAGTAGTCAGTATCTGGAGTGCTAAATGTTGTGTTTTATTTTGTTCTGTTCTGTGTGGTTTTTTTTTGTTTTTTTTTTTTTGATTTGTTTGCTTTCTTCGTTTGGAAGAAAAACAATGGCTAGCTCACAGATAAGACGTTGGTACAGGTAAATATCACTGAGAGCAACCACAATGCTCACATAAAGTACTTATGTTTAAGTTCAGTAATGGAGATAATACTTAAGTCTAAAGTATCTAAACGATATATATCTTCCCAAATTACTGTTAAAAATAGCGAATGTTTGTCTTTTAATTTAAAGACTGTTTAACTGGTGTGAAATTTTGAGTTAAGAGTTCAAAGGTACAAAAAGAGAATCATAGAATCATTGAAGTTGGAAAAGACCTCCAAGATCATCTAGTCCAAAACTTTAACCTAGTACTAAAGTCCACCACTAAACCATGCTATTAAGTTGAGCTTTTTAATAAGAAGTGTATGTTTGGGATGGGAAAGCTAGATCTTTGAAAAGGGAAATTCCTATCTCTGTTGTGCTCATCTTAAATTGGGGTTAACTATTGCTACCTGTTTTGTGATTTTGCTGCTTTGGGATGTAGCTATCAGAGCATTTAGGCATTTTTAATTGCTAAATTTCTATACAGATATTCATAAATCCCTATATGTAGTCAGATGAATCACACCATATTCCATGGATTGTGTAGACTAATGTACCACTGGCTTAAAAGGCAGTCCTAGCCAGCTTACATACAGATAGCTGAACTGTAGACACATACACATCTTGCCCTGAAAGTGCATAGACATTTTGCTGGAACAAATTTTAGTACCTATGGTACACATTTCGTAAGGGTTACCAGGGACAGGTGTCTTCACAAGGCAGCATTGCAAGGTGTTTCCTTTAATCGTAATGTCCGTTGCTGTTTACAGGCTGGGTACTTCCTTTCTTGATTACAGATGTCCAGGCTAGCTGGTGTTCTCAAAACACTGCAGGGTATAACGGTAATTATAAATGTAACCCCTTTTCTACTTAATACTCATGGATGCAAGGACTCATCACCTGAGTGTTACACTGATGCATTACAGCAGAGCATGAAGTCCAGGTCTTTCTTCTCTGAGATGAAGGATAGCTAAGTCTAAGATTACTTGTTCACTGACCTAGCGAATATATATTTCTTCTTATACAAAGGCAGTCAGTAGAAAAACTTATTGTGGTTGTTAAGCATTCATTCCTGAGATAGGTTGTAGCTGAGTGGTCTAGCCATAAGACTAGTGGAAACAAAGAGAGGTTCTGTTAACCTTTTCATGAAGCAGACATGGAAAAAAAGGGCGGGGAAGGATGGAACATTAGTGCCAGGAGAGGATTCAGGGTTTTGAACGCTCTCTTGAAAAAGTAACTTCTCTGAAGTCTCACAGCCTTCTGAAGCATGGATTTTCTGTTAAGAGTTGGGGCCTGGAAGTCAGTTTGAAAGACTAGGTCCATTTATCCTCACCATGGTGATAAGGATTCTTTCTGGCAGCACCCATCTTCTTGCAGCGTATGATGGAAGTTGGTCCTGCCCAGTGTCTCTCTGAGGTATGCGTCAGATAATTGCATGCTGTGAGCTGGGCTGAGCTGTGGTGCTGAGTGCAGCATCTCTGAATGCACATCTGTATGTCACTTGTTTGTCTAGCTTATCTAGAATGGTGCTTTTCATCTACCTGTACCGTTGGGACTCTGCAGCTATGAGGTTTCTAACTTCCTCCCAGACAGGATGATACCAATCTCTGAACAGTGCCCATAGTACATCTATGAGCCTGTATTTCATGCGGTTTCCTTTGACAGTTGCCTTGAAATAAGGCAACGATCACTGCAGTAGTGACTGGGTACACACAATAGTGGTGATATGGTAACTGGTAGGATCCACAGATATTCTTAGTACCAGCTGTGTCGGCAGTGAAACAAAACAGATATGGGCCTGCAGCATACCAGCCAGCAGGCTCTTTTCACCACTTTTATCCTGAAGAATTTCTTGAAATTGCATTTACACTGTTATAGCCTTTTCATTAAACTTGACCACAGACACTACAAGCTTCTGGACCTTCTTTTGAACCTCTTCTTGGTATTAACTGTACTTCAGACCAGCAGGAGGGAAGTTCTGCAATAAAGGTTGTCTGGAGCTTCAAGCTCTTACTAGACGGTATGTCTGGAAGTGGAACAGAAGAACTTAATTCCACCATAGGGAGTTCATTTCTCTGAGGTGCTGTCTGTGATGTTTCAGTCTGGACACATTGCTTTGTACCTTTACCTCTTTCTTGTTCTCGTGTGTGAATTAGTCTAATAATCCACTTATTTCCAGGGTTCCATGGCTATCTCTTAAATTGTAGGAACAATATGGCAAAGATGTTGTAGAACTTAGAGAAAGTTCTTTCGTTTACTGAGGGATCAAAATTCATCACTTGCCACCCATGATAAAATATTCTGTAGAATAAGAAGTGTACCATGGAGTTAATTGTTTCTTTGCTGTCTTTTTATTCTTAGGGTACTCACAAGAAGATCCTGGATGTTGCCAACATGTTGGGCTTATCCAATACTGTAATGCGGCTGATTGAGAAGCGAGCCTTTCAAGATAAATACTTTATGATTGGGGGAATGATTTTGACTTGTGTAATTATGTTTCTCGTCGTGCAGTATCTGACATGAGCTACTAATGCTATTGACAGAGGATATCGTCTTTTGGAGCAAGATGGACTGTCCTCCAAAATGTACTTTCCTCTGAGTGCTGCTTTGGATGAGCCCCTCCTGCGAACTTCAGAGTTTACAAGTCACACTCAGACACGTCATGTGGAAAGCACATAGGGGAACAAATTTTTTGGGGACACTGTAGTTTAAAATGACCCTATAAAAATATCCTTAGCCATTACTACTCTCATCTTATTGTCAGTAAGTTTAAGAATCTTAAGTAGGAGGCAGAAGTGCAATTTTTGCCGAGCTGTTAGCAAGTCAGGAGTGTTGGGTAGATAGGGGAGAACAGGATACAAAGGCAGAACATAAGATGAAGTGAGCCTTTCCTGTGATAGCTAGAAATGACCCTGGTGAGTGTATTTCCTTTTGAAAAAATGCCACTATGGAGAATTCTGCAGTGTCTGTGGGCACGCTCCTACAGATTGTGCAAAAAGAGGAAGTGAAGGGTTCCCATTTGCAAATGTACTCTTCTGCTTGGAGGGAGAAGGACTTGTGGGGAAGGGTCTTAACTCTAAAAGCATGGTCATAACCTCTGCTACTTTTTTGTATACTCATACGGTTTTACCCAGCAATCTTCAGTTTAGACTGAAATGCTTCTCATCTTATCTGAAATAAGTTTTGGTATCTTTTTATGTCCTGCTGCTTCCCAGTGGAAGCTGAATGCTGTACTCCTCCCTGCTTCCAGTCAGGTGTAGATTAGTGAGTGCAGATCAGAGATCACTGCACCCAATACCAAATTCAACCTCCAAAAAATTGGGAGCATTTTTGGTGCTAGTGCACATCGTGTTATAGTGAATTGTATTCATTATCTGAGGTGGTTGGTTGGGGTTTTCTGATCCATAGCTGGTATTTTTGAATTCAGTGAAGCAGGCACGTTCTTGCGGTGTTCAAACTGAAACTCGTGATATTTGTGTTTATAGAGCTGGAATGGGCTCTTTTTTTTTTTTTTTTTTTTTTTTTTCAAATTCAAAAATAGCAGTGTGATCATCAGAAGAGGAAGAGTTCCCTTAACTTAGTGCCTTGGGATGGTAAACATGTCCCTTGTCCTTGAGAAGGGTATTTGCATTATTCTCTCTACCTGTGAATTTACTGTGAAGGACAGTCTCATACAAATCATCTCACAGAGATGATAGCTTAGATTTTATATCTTCTTCGCTGTAGATATTTATCCACATTTAAACATACACAGTTAAGAAATGCCTCCTATGGTACACATTTCCCTTAAGAAATGCCTCCTATGGTACACATTTCCCTGAAGATTGTGGGAATTCTGTTGGAATGGCCATCATGAAGTTTCAAACAGCCTTCCATTTCAAACATTATCCATTTCAGTCAGCCTTCATATACATTCTCATTTTGTGTAGAAGTCAGGAGCATTTCCAAATATCTGACAGTGTCATGTTCAGATAATGTGGCATTCTGTTGGGTGTTTGTTTTTTTTCTTTTTTTTTTTTTTCTCTCTGGAATGGTTATGGGTCTTTTAATTAGTAACAGTTTACAAATTCTGCATTTCTTTGCTCCAATATGTTTTGTTTTTATAACTACATAGCTTGTTGCAGACTTTTTTTTTCAGTTACTAATACCATTTCTTCAATTTCAGCTAATATGGGCAATTTAAACAGGCTTCAGCAGTGCTTGTTTACATTTTCATGTTTAAAGTATTGACTGATCCATGTGATGTGGCATAACTTTAAAGCCCAGAATGAGACTCCCCAGTTTGATCAGCTGTCACTGTACAGTCAGCTTTGTATTTGGAATCCAGGGCAAGTAAAATGTCAGTAGTCAGAGCACTAGCTGCTGCCCTGCAGACACAACAGTGGAAGAGGCCAAGATGCTGTCAGTGCCTAGACAATCCTGTCAGGGGGTTCAGCAGGAGAAAGTGGAAAAGTGTCAGTGGTTGTTGAATATCCTATGTGCTGCACACCTTCCAGCTGGCTGTTTTGTTCTTAATGTGTTTGATGTTTCCCAGGTATTTAAAGCTCTTTGTTTTCCTCAATCTGCTGCACTTTCTCAAGAAAACATGTTAGCAGACCATGTGCAGAATCACTTTGCATGTCAGCCACAAGGACTAAGGAATCAGAAAGTTTGTTATGAGAGATCATATGTCTTACTGTATCTTTAATCTAAATTTACCTTGAATTTATTTTAAATCTGAAATTTATCATGATAAATTTTAGCACAGAATGCACTTGTTAAAACACTTTCTATTAGATCAGTTAGGCATCTTGTGAGGATCCCTGGCAAATCTTCTGTCCTGATCCAACTCTACCTTGATTTTACAACTTTATTGTTTAAAGTTTATGTAGTTGTGACTTGGTGTAGCAGGAATCGTCTTATACCAAGGTAAGGACGCTAGTCAGTCTGTTTTCTTCTTTTCAGCTTGTGGTATGAGCCATAAAATAAAATTAATGGAACTGGATTTTCTCTGTTTTGGGACTAGACTAACATTTTTATTTACGTTTCTCTGTCCACTTATTTTTGTCCTTTTAGAGTCTTCCTTGTGTAGGCTAATTTCCCTGTTGTATGCAATGTCCTTGCTATTCATTATCTGGAGTTGGGATGTGGGCTCGAAGGGAAGCACTTAGATGACTGGATTTGATGATGTGTAACTTCAAACAAATTTGTACTAGATATTAAGTCCAAAATGACTTACAAGAGCACCTGTGTCATTTCAGATGGCTAATGTAAAACCCTCAAAACTTCTGTCATTAGTGTGGCACAGTAAAAGTACAGGTAGGATCAACTGATCAACGTCCCTGCTACCATGGAATGACAGAGCTGAAACCCTGGTGGCTTGTCACATGTTGCTGCTGCAGCTGCTGTCTCTGAAGTTTTCTTTCTTAAGACTGCTTCTTTCAGTGGAGCTGTTCGCCTGTGAACTTCTGTGGAACAGCAAGTGTTCCAGCTGTCGAATGGAGTGCTCTCATGAGAGGGCGCTGTGGAAACTAACTAGTCTCTGGAAAAAAAAAACAACACACTTTTAACCAGTATTTTATACATAAGGGGACAAGGGTGGGACATGATGTGATTCATCTGTTGTGTTATGTAAATAAAGATTTTTTCAACCAGAAGTTTTTCTTTTTTATCTTGCCTAATGTTTGAGATGCCCAATTACTTAAGCTGGACAAATAACTTCTGGACACAGGCAGGTGAGGCACTAGGTTTGCTTGGTTGAATGGGGAACCTGTGCCTGAACTCAGATGTAAAACAGAAGTTCACAGAAAGTGCAAATGGGTGGCCTGCTCAGGAGGAATGGATAAATGTTACTCAAGTGTTCAGGGATGGAGCAGCAAAGTCAATTTGAAATTGGCATTGAAACTAGTGAGATAACAGTTTGTATGAATGCACTGCTAGCAAGAGGAAGGTTATGGAAACCAGCCATGAACAGGGCAGGGGTATTTCAGGAAGTATCTGGGTCATGGTGTTTCATCCTGCAGCCTCTGGGGCTGTTTGCCCACACAGGCAGGAGTGTGTTGGCAGGTTCCGTGAGGGCTGAGGCCACAGGAAGCACACAAGAACAACCCAGAAAAGTCCTACATATGGAGGGTTGTGGTGCTTCCATCGTGATGGATGGCTAAACTCCACCACATCTGCTTTCTCACTCCCTGCTCATCGAAAGAGGGGGGGAGAAAAAGTATATGAAAGCAAGTAGCTCACGTGATGAGATAAGGATAATTTAATTAAAAAAGCAAAGGTTGCAAAGAGAGAAAACAATTCTCAATTATTCATCAAGTGATGTTCAGCCATGTGTTGGGAAGCCAGGTCTCAATACACTTAGTAGTTTTCAGGACAGATGTCTTCATAATGGGAGCTTTCCCTTCTCCTCCCCCACCTTCCCAGCTTCTATTGCTGAGTGTAATGACACGTCTGTTAACTGAAATGCTTCCTTTGATGTGTTGCCCCACATGATGATGCCATCAATGTATCTCACAAGTGTTCAGGAGCTTCCCCTTGTTCCAGTGCAGTCTGGATCATTCCATGGCAAATGGCAGGGTTGTGCTTCCACCCCTGGGGCAATCAATTCCAGGTGGACTGGACACCCCTGCAAGTGAAAGAAAACTGTGGCCTGCTCACTGCTGCCAAAGTGCCCCTACAGGCAGCAGCTCCTGCCAGGTCACCTGCTCCTGCGTGGTCTCCTCTCCACGGGCTATAGGTCCGGCCCAGAATCTGCTCCGGCAGGGGTCTTCCACAGGTGGCAGCCTCCGTCAGTGCAGGGCCACCTGCTCCACCGTGGTCTCCTCCACGGGCTGCAGCGTGGAGCCCTGCTCCACCGTGGTACTCCATGGGCTGCAGGGGGACATCCTGCTTCACCATGGTCCTCACCACAGGCCACAGGGGACTTCTGCTCCGGCGCCTGGACCACCTCTCCCCCTCCTTCTGCACTGACCTTGGCGCCTGCAAGGCCGTTCCTCACTCCTTTCACTCTCCCAGCTGCTGTGTGGCGCAGCGTTTTTTTCCCTGTCTTAAATATGCTCTCACAGAGGCGCAAAACAACATCGCTTATTGGCTCAGCTCTGGAAAACAATGGGGCCCTTCCCAAACATGGGGCAGCTTCTAGATCCTTCTCACAGAAACCACCCCTGTGGCCCCCTGCTACCAAAACCTTGTCATGTAAACCCACTACATGGTGGCATACCACTTGGTTGCCTTTGACTCTAGTTCGTACTGAAGTTCTAGCATGTCCGGCACCACAGCACACAGTGGTGTTGTGACTTTATTCAGGCCGTGATAGTCCACTGTCGCCATTAGATGTTTGCACTAGCCATGTGGGACTACTAAGGGTGAGTGAGTCTTGCTGATCACTCCTTGGCTCTCCAGTCAACAAATCAGCTTATGGATAGGAATCAGGGAACCTCAGTCAGTGCAATATTGCTGCTGGTGCACTGCTGAGGTAGCGATTGGCACCTGCTGTTCTTCGACCCTCAGCAACCCCACAACAAAAGGGTCTTCTGAGAGACTGGGCATGGTAGACAACTGTTTAATGTTCTTTATCTCCAAGACAGCTATGCCAAAAGCCATTTTGGGTCCTTGAAATACCCTCTCCTAACGTAGTCTATGCCAAGGATGCCAGCCTCTGGGCCAGTCACAATGGAGTGCTTTTGCTACTCATTCCCAGTCAGGCTCACTTTAGCCACCAATACAATTAGCTGTTGTGATCCCCCTGTCAAGCCAGAAACACAGATGGGTTCTGCCCCTGCATAGCTTGGTGGCATTAGAGTACACTGCAATGGTGCTCACTAGAGCATTGCACTCCTGTGGGTCCTGTGGGCCTGGTTGATAATACAAAGTTTTCCTTGAGGGGATGCCTTTCCTTCATTCCTGACAGAGGTCACCTAGAGGTGGAGGACTGGTGCCCCTTTTCCCAGTTGCTTTGTCAATGATCCTTTCCCTAGAGAAAGATCCATCTGCTTGGCTTCTTTGCCTTCTAATTCCTGGATACTGGTGCTGGTATTCCAGCATTGGAGCAGGCAGGTGGCAACGTGCTCACCTGGGTGACGATTGAAATGCTTTCCTAGATCTTGCAACTCACTCAGGGATAAGGATCAGGTGGTTTCTGCCTTATGATTTCTATCTCGTCTTCCTCCTGTTTATGTGAGAGCCCTGATCCAGAGCAGCCTGCCTCTTCCACTTCCTGCTCTGGAACCTCTTAGTGGAGCTCCTTCTTCCCTTACTAAACAAGCTGACTTCTGCGTCCATTGTTTTGTGTTAACTACAGGGGCCACTGATTCCATTGACAGTTAGCCCTGTTTTAGCTATTGTCTCTCTTATTTGCTTGTCAGATCCAGAGGCCTTGTCTTCCCCTTGCAGGTGCTGAATAGTGCTGACTATTGAATGATAAGTGCAGGCCAGGCCCCAGCACAGTGCAGCAAGCTGGAGTTTGCCAGCATTGCCAAGGTCAGGGCATATGTCTTTTAAACATTCTACCATTTTTTTTTTAGGATTCTGCACTTGCTCAGAGGTGAAGTTTAAAACCATTGGCAGAGAGAACCATGACAGGTACCTGCCTGTATCTTCCCACACACCTTGCCACCCATCAACACACTGCCTAGGGGCAGATTCCTGGGTGGTATGCTTAATTAATTGTTTAACCTTAGGAAAAAAAAAGAAAAACAGAAACATTCTGGAAACCTAGCAATAGGAATATGTTGGTTACCTAAGGATATTCAAAATACTGGAAAGCTATTGTAATTAGCCCACAGGGAAAGGAGGAGGAGGCACCATTCCTGATATCCTTCACCAATTCACTCCCAGAGGAGAAAAAGAGTGCAGTTGTTAAAATTCTCCAACAGATGGTTCCCAGTGTACAGTGATGACAACAATGCAGGGCCTGAACAGCAGATTAGGCTCAAGACCAGTGATTTACAGTACAGCAAACTGAAAAGAGAAAGAAAAACAAACAAACACACACAGCCTTTAAAAAGCTCTCAGATCTGACATATAGAGAAAGAGAGAACATGGCATAGATCACATACAGCAGAATGACATAGAACAATATCAAGAGCAAATCAGTCAATATCATGACCAGCAACTGTTAGACAAATACACTAATTGTAAGTTCCCTCTGAAGTGCTCTGGTCAAATCTATAGTTATCTCAACCCTTTACCCCCTATGTCGGGCACCAAAAAAGGACTGTGGTGGTTTCACACTGATGGACAGCTAAACTCCACCACGCTGGTCTCTCACTCCCCTCCTCAAAGGGAAAGAAGGGGGAGAAAACATGATGGAAAGAGGCTCATGGGTTTATGTAAGAATAAATTAAAGGAAAAAGAAAAGGAAAAACAAGCAAAGGCTGCATGGACGAGAAAAAACAATTATTCTCTCCTTTCCACCAGCAAGCAATGTTCAGCCATGTGTTGGGAAGATGGGCCTCAATAAGCATAGCAGTTGTTCAGGAAGACAGATGTTTTCATAACGAGACCACCCCTTCCCCTTTCGCAGGTTTTATTGCTGGGTGTGATGATACATGGTGTGGAATAGCTCATTGGTTGGTTTAACTCAGCTGCCTTGGCCATGTCCCCTCCCCACCTCTCGCCCACCCCCTGCCTCCTGCCCTTGGGGGGCTTGGGCAGAGTCTTGATGCTGTGCCAGCACTGCTCCGCAACAGACCCAACATTGGTACGATGGCAATGCTGTTCTAGCTCCAAGTGCAGAGCACAGCACTCTAGGGGCTGCTGTGGGGAATGTTAACTCCATCCCAGGCAGCCTGAAGTACACGGGTGAAAGTGTGCACTCAGGCTAGAGGGAAAACATGCGGTGCATTTTCTTTCTAATTCACTGATTGTGGATGGAAAACAGAGACGGGTTCTGTGGAGAAGAAGACAGCATCAGAGAAAGGCTCACAGGGGTGCTGAAGGGTAACACAGACTTTCAGCAGGAAGTTGGTCCCACTGCAGCGTGTGGGAGTGTGCGTGTGCAGGCTGCAGGCCAGGTATCTACTGTGATGGATCTCGGTGGTGATACAGCAAGTTCATATGGCACTGAAACTGGTGGTGGCTCAGAAGGGTGGAAGAAATGGTGCGGTCTCTGCTGACTCCATGGTAGAAGAGGTGAGTGGGAGCTATGCTGTGGAGGAAGACACCCAGAACCTCTGCATGCTCTGCCTGCTCCTGGTTTGGCTCTGCAGTAGGGTCAGGCCTTCCCCTCTCATCTGCTACCAGCTAGTAATGCAGGTGGTGAGGTCTGGAGTCCTGGTCTTCTCCTAACCCCTCCTTCCTGGCTCTCATTAAGGAGAGTAAAGGAACAACTTGGAGGGCAAAATGTATTAGATTATCTTTTTCTTGAAATTTGTTTTGTTTTGCAGTAATTCAAGTTTCCCACATTAACAAAACAATCATTAAATCAGAAAATATCTAGCAAAGAATGGAAAAAAATAAAAATTGCATCTAGTGAAGCAGGTATAAACTAGATATATCAGATAGCCCTCTGGCGGTCTTCGTTAAAGCTTTGGAAAAAGAATTTTTAAAAGGCATTTAATAACCTAAACGCTGAGACACGTTTTCATGGTTTATCTTCCAGGGTGGTCCCCTAAAAGATTTCAGTATGATAAGAGGTAGCTCAAGACTAGAAATA